AGAAAGTAGTAATTTGTAGCAAATATAAAGGGCAGGATAAGCGTTAGTATACAAATTGTATTTCACCAAAGAAATTAAAAATGCGAACCACACAATACATTCCACAAGCTGTAGTATGAGGACATTTTTCTTCATTTCTTTTATTTGAGTGCTCTTAAAATAAAAACTAAAATGAAAAATGTTATTTAATAATGAATAATTGAGTTTACCATCAGATTCATCTCCTAAGTTATAATTATCAGTGCAGTCATAATTTTCACAAAATATGATCTTTTTGAATTCAGTTCATTTAGAAGTTTATAAATTCTTTTCTTAATGCGTCATATGTAATATCTGGGATAAAATGTGAAATTTCATCATACATGTTTGATAAAACTGTAGTGGGTAGGAGTACATCTATTTCAAAATTGTTTGGGTCGAGGCATGACAAATTTTCACAAAGTTGACCGTGCGTTGAAAATCTAGAAGAAATACTTTGTATTATTGTATCAAAAATTAAATTGACATTGACTTCAAATGCACGCAGACTGTCATCTAGTGGATTCATAAGAAAGTTGCCTGGTTCTTTTTCTTTTTCGAGTTTATAGAAAACCATCACTAATTTCTACTTCACTCTTTTCAACTTCTAATTTATTATTCGCCCATTTAATAAAATTGTCTGCTGCTTTCTTGGTGCTTGAAAAGTCACGTACCACTATAATTTTCAGTTCATTAAGTGTTGCCTGAACCATTTGATAAGATATCATATTTACTCCATATCCTTGTAAATACTTAGACAGTAGAGTAGTTTTTTGAAAAATGCGTAAATAAATTTGAGCTGTCAGCTGTTATAGAATGACTATTTTTAATTTCAATAAATATATAAGTAGTTAAAAGTTCCACGAATAAACCAGCTTCTGGACGGTTAAAATGACCAAAAACTTTGATTAAAGTACAATCTTTAGACACCATCTTGTCTTTCCTATACAGCATATTCGTTCATTTTTTTCCTTAGTAATCCACACATCCATATGCGTATGCGATTCTTTAATAAAAGCTGCACATCCATTAAATGTTTCAAATGAACTGATGGATTCAAGAATTGTATTCATTACATCAGCAATTACCAAGTTCAGTATATGAGCATAGCACCATTATATGAATTTGTTTTTGTGCCATATTACTTAGCTGAGGAGAAAATCCACGATACTTCCCCTGCATATTTTCTACTCCATCTGTAGCATTACCAACAAATTTTTTGAGACCCAAATTCATACTATTGAAGACTTTCAAAACTAATTTAACTAATTCAGTTCCTTTACTAAAGGTATATTTGATGATACCGACTAATCTTTCGTGAATAGCAGTACCACTGACGTAGCGAATAATTACCGAACATTGATCAGTTACTGAAATATTTTGAGTCGTGTCAATAATAATAATTCATAATTTTTATTATATTTACTCATCCTAATTTAATTATAAAAAAAAATTAATGGTATCGAGGGGGTCACCGACATAATATAGGGCGAGGGCCCACAGGAAAAATCCCATTTTCCCCATGGGCCTATCCACCCCCGAATAGAGAGATAATGTAATCGCAGTCATGGTTATTTCACAGACTAAATTAAAATAATTATTTATAGCCTATGGGTCTTTTTTGGACATTTTATTGTAGACTTGTTATAACTGTAGTAAACCCAATGCTTAGCATGATTTAATAATTTGATACAAATTACTATAAGTATTAATATAATAATTCGAGCTGCAAACGGTTGAAATCGTTAATCATGCACGTAAGTATTTTTTTAAATTACATTACACTACCTAATTAGCTGGTACATCGTATTACACATTAACTCCTATGTTTAATTTTAAAAATTATTAAATAAATGTAATTTTTAGTGTTTAAAAATTGTTAATTCAAGAACAGAACACAACGATTGAGATATACACTTTTAATTACATTTATTTGGATTTATATATAATTAATACAGTCAAGTAGTAGAAGTTCCAGACAATAATAAAATCTGAATTGTAAACTTTTGTAATAGTTATAGGTGTATTGTTTGTATTATCACATCGATTGGCCTACTTTAATTAAAGTATTTAATGAGGGATTTTTTTTTTTTTTTTTTAAGCAACTTATAACCAGACGAATTAAATTATTGCACTTCGAATTTATGCACATAATAATGAGTTAATTTATTATATAGTCACGTAGTTAAATTTTTTTAATATTTAATTTATAGAGTTTGAAAATTAAAGTAACTTAGACAGAATAGTGTAATTTTACATTCGATAAAAAACGATTCTGAGCGGACGAGGGAAACTTTTTTATTTAATTTTATTCGTTTCTATGGTGAAATAAAGTGTTTTAAGAATAGCTTAAGAACGATTTATATAAATAGGTAATTTATATAATTATAATTATAATTTATAATTAGGAAATATCATAAAAATGAAAAAAAATATATAAAATAAAAGAAAAAGCTCAAAAGTCGCTCAAACGTTTTGAAAATTTTACTATGTCTAGGTAAGGATAATATAAGTAAACAATCAAAATTTCAAGTTTTTACGAATGTTTTTAACCGAATAATAACAAAAAAAACTCCCAAAATTAAAATGTCTACAAATAACTCAAAAATGGCTAACATTTTCCAAACTTTAAACCGTAAGAAACAAAATCCAAAATACAACAAAAAAGATCTCTTGTTATTTTTCATTTGGAGCAAAATATCTGGTAGAAAACGTCGTCCATAATTATTTAATATTATAAAATCGAGAAAACGTACGTTTTTCTCCTTTAACCGCTTTTATTCGAGTACCGTTTCGAAAATCGAAAAATGACCTCTCTAACGTACCAGCTCAAGAACATTACCTTTCAGAAAAGATGCTACACTTGATACTTTTGAGCAAGTTTAGAGGGAGAAAAAGTGTTTACAGAATAAAAAAGAATCATGTCATTGTGAAACCATTACATTCCTCGCTCCATTCAGAATCTAAAATATGTTGTATAAATATTATATGAATATTATATGAAGTTTATATAATGTTATGTAAAATTATATAAGTGTTATATAAATAATGTAATATAAAATAGTATAAGTATTAAAAAGGCGAGATACATTAGCCAAATAATGCAGGATACAGGAGTCACTTCCTACAGGGAACTTAAGAATATGGCGAATGATAGAGAAAAATGGAGAAACCATTTATTGTAAAACATTTGTTAAAAATCAATCTTTGGATTGAAAAACAAAAAAAAAAGTATTAAAAAGATGTTATGCGAAATACATCCAGGGCAAAGGTGAAAACAACAAGTAGTTTTTCACCTCTTAACATGATAATGCTAAATCATTACATTATCAGTAAAAGTAATATTGGAATTACACCACTTTGACCGATATAAATACAGGTAGAGCATTTGGCATTAATCAGAAATAGATAGGTAGTTCTGATAGACAGTGTTAGACTGGTCATTAACTTTTTAAATAATTTATTACTTGTCGTGGATATTGTTACAGCCACATCGCCACGAGTACATAATTCTTTACCCATAATAAACTAACCTTTATTTTTGTTTAAACTGTGTATTATTTTTCTTGTGGTAAATTATTAAAAATAGTAATTTTTACAAGTATTAAAATACAAGTTAATTTAATTATTCAAATTACCTAACTCTCTCACCATTATGTTTTAAGATAACAACGAACATGCGGCGTCGTTAAATAATTAATGTAGTACCAATCGTAGTGTCCTGCACAACGATCACTACATAACTATACAGCATACGCTATAATTACTTGGGTAGGTTATTAGCACGATTCATGTTGGTGATCCATAAATAACTCGACACAATGACCGAGACGTAGAGAACTTGATCAGGCCCTGGGCTCCTGGGCTACAGCCCCAGCTACCCCCCATCTCTTCGGGCTTGCATAGAATATACTTATTTATAATCTGCCCCTCCCGTTATGGTAGGCTGGATCCGTGCCTGGTGCGGACTCCCATTACAATACGTTTGTACAAATTTAACGCCACTACACCGCCACCGCGGCAGTGTGTGGGGACCTTTACATGGAGATCGTTTGGGTAATATGGGTAATATATAATACTATAACTGTTTGAAGATAATAAATACATTTTAATTTTAAAATAGTCACTTAGAATTTTTACCTAAAAGAAAATTAAATTTATATATTTTTTTTTAAGGTCTGAAATAAAAGTTTTTAAGTTTGGAGCCCTCGCACAATCTTAAATACTTACTGAAGGAAAGGTTATCTATTTTTTAAAACTTTTTTTTACTCTAATAATAATATTAAATGTAATTTAAGTACATACCAGTAGAGAAAGTAAAAATTCAGAATCATAACGATACCAATTTTCAGTCATACGTTTTTCTTGGTCAGGAATTAAATTTAGTTCCATAGCAATATTTTGAAGTTCTTGATTACTAAAATTTAATTAATTAATTACATAATTTATCATGATAGAAATTATAAATTCCTTTAAGAAAATAAAATAATGTGTAATGTTATTTTTTCTAAAAAAAAAAAATCATAAAAAATAATAAAATAAATTTAAATGAACTTATTTTTTTTTTATTTTGGTTTTAAAAATTACCAATTAATAATAACTATTCAAATTTCAATAATTGTATATAATTAAAATAAACAATCATAATAAAAGCACTTGTAATAAAAATTATACATCGATTACACATATATAAATTAAATATAAAATATCAAATGATACAACTAAAATTCAGGATTATGGTAAACAAAAATAATTAAATTAATACAAATGGAATTTATATACTGAATACATAAATAAAATAATTTATCTCATAATAGATTTGTAAACACTATTTGAATTTCAGTCACTATTTTGAAGAATTACTTAGAAGAGTCAGGAAAAGTTCAGCAAAATAAAAATATATTATGATGTACTAAAAATGTACATTTATTGTACATTTAATGAAATTTTTATTATTATGGTATAGAATCTACACTATTGATTATAGATAGATATGAAAAAAGTATTGCTACTAGTTTAAATCTTATTCATAAATATATTTACAATAATATTAAATTATTGAAAACTATAACTAAATTTTAAAATAATTTACCTTAGATTTTTAAAATGTTTAATAAGAGAATCATATTTATCAACAGCATTAATATTAGATAATGAGAAATCTTTCAGCTTGGTGAATTTTCCAAATAATGTTGCCTGAAAGAAAGAAATTTACATAAATAAATAAAATACTAAAATTATTTTATTCAACCAACTAATGAAGTAGTTTTTCTGGGGAGTCTTAGCTGAGCTGGATTAAACAATTTTGCCTAAACACAGTCACTAGTTCGAAATCAGTAATTTATCCCCGTATAATAAATTAAAAAAACCCATTTAACTAAATTTCATAAACTTAGTCTAGCTTTAAGTAAAAATGTACTCTCAATAAAACAGCAATATTTTATTTCACAAATGCACTTTAATAATATCCAACAATAAATATTAACATAATTTTATCCAAATTCAAGTAAGTTCTTTATTGACCTTCTATATAAAGTCATGGATAATAAGTGTATTAAATTGAATGTACTAAAAAGATAAGGAAATTCACATTTTAAATAATACCTTTTGAATTTTATGCTTAGTTATAGATTTTTATAAGAATTTATCAAAACTATGTGTGTTAAATTTGAGTGGAAATATAAATATTAAAATTGTAGTGAAAAACAGTAGTTAAGTGAGAATTAGTCTTAGAAAATATAGTATATTTCATTAAATGGTTCATATTGTTATATTGTCATATTTTTCATATTGTTCGCTCTATGATGAATTAAAGCGTTTAAAAAAATTGTTTTAATGGTCAGTATAATTTATTTATTATTTAAGAAAATACTTTATACCAGATAAAAATTTTGAAAATATAGTCGATATATATTTCAAACCATTAAATTTTTGTTCATAAAAAAAAATAAACATCATTGTAAAATCAATATATTTCTGGTTTAATTTAAAATGTAGCAAACAAAATATACTATTCACTGGTTATAAGAATCAACCACTTATGATGATCAGAAATTCCAGGAATAGAACAAATTGCCATTATCAGTGCTTTTAATTTAATGCAATTAATACACTTAGAAGAACTGCAGAAGAGCACTACATAGTTATAGACTAATTTGTTACATTGAGCAACTCAGAGCACATCATGTCTGTCTCTAAACAAAAAAACATGTGCATATAACTGACTTTTTTTGAAAAAACCTAAGTTTTGAATTATATATATATATATATATATATATACTATTTTGAAATATTATATAGTCTCTTTAATTCTATATATAAAATAAAATGTTTAAAAAAATTATTTTTATGTTATTTTCTGTTTTTTCAAATTGCTGTTAAGTGATTTCCGGTTATAGTGATCAAAATACCCTTAGACGAATGTGATCACTATAAGTGGCAACCACTGTATATTTGAAAGTTGAAACTAACTTTTTTTTTTAAATTTTAAAATTAGTTTGTACCTGCAATGATGTCATTTTATCATAATGTGCTTGCATCACTTCATTTTCTTTTAATGGATCACCAGTTGCTTGACAGATTTCAAAGTGAAAATAAAATTTTAATATATCTAATAACTAATGAAAATAATACATACAATTAATACAATTTAAATTAAGCTAAACTCATAGACAAACCTGTTTAAAAAGGTGTCCTTCATCACGTTTACTTAATGATGCTAAATAACATCGATCTATCAAATGTATGTCATCTAAGACAACATGAAAAAATCTTCTAGTAGGCAAAGATGTTTCTAAATCAATAAGTAATTCCAAAAATCTCTCGCAATAATTTAAATGATTGACACATAAATCACCTAAAAATTAAAATTATATTATTATATATATATAATACATATGTATGGTTTTCATATTAAACTAATATCAATTAAAATGTATACCTTCTACTGATATTCCTTCTAAAATATTAATGAATTTAATACATAATTTATGTAAAAATGTTCTTTCAAGATCTGCCTTTAACTTATTTTTTACAAGTAAATCTTTATCCTTTTTTTGTAATCGATTCCATAACTTTTGCCATTTTGGTACTTGACGCAATTCTAATATTCTTCGTCTCTAAAATAAAAATTAATCAAATAAATATAATAAAAATTACCAATTTTAATAAAAATATTAATATAAAGTATTGGAAATTAAATATATAACACACATTTTAAAATGTAAACATTTTAGATAAAATTATTCATAAATTGAAAAAACTATATTGATCAGAAAAAAAGGTATTCTTATCATCCCAATTTTTAAATTATTGTTGAATTAGAAAATTATGTCTCTATAATAATGTTTTAGTGAAAAAGAGCAAATTTAGAGCCATTTCTTAAATAAAAGATAAAAATTGTTAGTTAACTATTGAGCTAAAAGTAATTTAATCCAATTTTTTTACTAAAATAAACACTATAGAAAAATATGTCTAAAAATCTTCAGTACGATATAAAAACAGTAAATACTGATGTAAAGAAAATAATAAAACTCAGCATAATATATCTACACATAAAAAATACTCACTTCCTGCAAACTACACCATATTGATATAGATACAAGTTTCTTCATTTTGTTTCTCACTAAATCTGTTTCCATACATTGAAAACAATGATTTAAGAAAACAACCAGGGCTATCTGTTCCTTAATATTTTTACCATCAGAAAGACTGGCATATAATACTTGATCAATAAAACCATCAAATTCATCAGGATGGTTTTTTAAAGCCTAAAATTAAAATTTAATATTTAAATAATTTAATTATTTTAAATTGTAAAATAAGTAAATAATTCTATACCTGCCAAGGAGCTACTCTTTCACGAAATTTTTCATTTAACATTATAACAATAGACATTGTATGTGCAAATGTAGCATTTGAAGACACATAATTAGGCCACAAATAGTTTTCTAAATACTGGCTAAATTCTAATATCATAATACGTCTGACCGAAAAACTAAATCACACAAATATTGACATTAGTATTTATAATTCTCAATATATTATCCAAATAGGATTAATACATTTTAAAAGTTTTAAAATAATTAAAAATTAGGATGAACAGTAATATAATAATATATTAAAAAAAAAAAAAAGAAGATTTAGTACAAAATTTGAGAATTTAATCCATCAATTAAGTAAAACCTTGATAAGACGGAACCCCTTGGAACCATGACATTTTTCCGTGTCAACAGGGATTCCGTCTTCACGGGGTTAGTTAATTATATGTAATTTGAAACGGGACTAAAAAGAATGTTCTGTTATAACGGGGTTTTTGTCTTATCGAAGTTCCATCTAATCGAGGTTTTACTGTATTATCCTAAGGGAAAATAAATTGATTTACTTTCCTCATAATTAAAGATAAATTTTACAAAATTAAAAATAATTACTCAACAGAGTTTTCAACAATAAAAATATAATTATGTACAAAAAATGTTCTTAGGGAAATATGACATTTAAATATCCTTCCAATATAACAATACAATTTAAAAAAAACAGTTAATTTGTTAATGGTTCCTAAATTATAACTAAATAATTATAACTCATAATTAATAACTCATCTAAAAATTAAGATCTTTAAAAAGTAAGAAATAGAAAATGTGTCAATTTTCTAATATTTTTTGTTTTGTGTAAATTAACCAAAAGTGTACAATTCAAGATAATAATTTAGTAAAAACTGTAAAATTATAGAGTATATAACTATATTCAATATACAAGTTGAATATTATGCCTTTTTAAAAGTTAGTTAATACAGTATAAATTATATGAAATTTACTATTTATTTAAACTGAATTATTTTATCATCCATAAATAAAGAAATTGTTTAACAAATTTAAATTCTAACCTAACATTTTTTTTTTTTAAATACATAAATTAAAATGAAATATGTATGAAATTATGAGGTAAAAATACCTTAATTTAACTATTATATTTCACAGTTAAATATTTGAAAAAATAATTAAATTTATTTATTTATATATATATATATATATAGTTAAATTATAAATAAATGATTATATTATTATATTAATTATTTATATTTATCATTAGATACAATCAAGAACGATATGATATGGGCCGTTGGTGTATGCACAGGGAATGTAGAAAATGGAGACGATTTAAGGTTTAGGATAAGGTTGACCGACCCCAAATAGTTAGGTGAAAGGCGAAGGAGGAGAAGAAGAAAATTAATTATTTTTGAATAAGTGATTTAGGAAAAACATTTTAAATTATCCAAACAAATAAATAAGTAGTTATTAACCTACAAATATATCTTTATTGACAATACACTTGAAGAAAAAACTGGTAAAGCCAAATTGCAATATTTATAGTATGTGTTCTTTAAATAAATATTTATTTAAATTGATATTCTAAAGACTATCTGTTTGTAATTTTAACATGAAAACTTACTTTGACTTATAGATTTCTTCATTGTAAATATTTTCAACTACTTGTGGATTATAAGGTAAGTATTCATTGGGATTTACATTGGGAGCCCAATACTTTGATGCTAACTACAATTTAAATTTTGGATTTTATTATAAATTTAAAACATTTTTATTATTATATAATATATACCTGTGTTATACGATCAGCATTGATCTGATCTATAGTTGGTGCAACATTTAATACAACTGGTTGTTTAGAATCAGTCATTGTGTTTGTTGCTTTGATTTATATTATCCGTCGGAGGTAAATTATAAAAAAAGGTGACTACTTTTTTTTTTAGTTTAACCAAACGTTGATAAACTAAATCTCATCATTATGTAAAAAGAAAAATTATTACAATTCTTTTGAAATGGAAATAAATAAAAATAAACAAAACCCGGTAGATTTTGAAACGCACCAAAACGTTAAAGAAATGAAAACTTTTTATTTATTTATGTTGTGTTAGGTATAAGAATAAGAGTGGGATTCATTATACAGAATGCATAATCTAAAAGAAAAAATGTTTATATACTTTAATTTTTTTATTTGTATCAAAACACTCTGTATACATATAATTCATAATAATAATATTGTGGTTATCAGTTTTAGGTTATGTTATATTAATTTGAAAATAATATAACGTGATTTAAAAAATGTTCTGGAATCTAGATTTTCATTATACATAGTTATGAAGATTAGTTTTAAATATTAAAAAAAATCTAATTACTTTTTCACTGTCGCGTTTAGAATATTTTCGTTTTCTAACTAAATTATAGGAATGTCGCGTTCAATTGTATTTGGGATACATGTTGGAAACTCAACTGCGTCAATAGCAATATTCAAAGTAAATATTCATGTGATTATAAATATATAAAAAAAAAAATTTACTAAATGTGGACTCACGATTTTAGTATTTTCTCAAAACACTAGTAAAAAATAATTGCTTACATTAATCCATTCGTTTTTTAATAAAATATATTAATTTTTAAAATTTATATCGAAGAATTGGGTTTACATGATATTTTGTAACATTGTAAATGTTATTTGTTACAAATAATACATTATGTATAATGACTATTTTATGTTAAAAATAAAATTTATTTAACTGAATATTTTAAGAACATTGCTTTCATGAAAAAGACAATAGAATGGTTCACATTATAAATTTAAATTATAATTTGTAACTACTACTTATCTATTGTTTTAGTTTTTTTCAAAGTTAAAATATTATTAAAGTAAGTAGTTGAAATCCAGTATTAATACACTAGTTTTCATAATTTCTTAGAATTTTTATGTTTGAGATGAGATTTTAAAATGTGCAAGTTTAGATCTTTAACTCTTTAAACAGTCATTTTTTAAAGATACCTATTTGGCAGATGGTATCAGTATAATCTTGCTACTTCTATTCAAAATTCTGTATTTACCAATTTCTGGACATACATTCATATCCATTTCTATTTAAATTGTTAACAATGTTAAATCTTACTACCTACTTTACCTATTAGTAAAATGTATGGTTTTTAAAATAAACATCTAAAAATATGTTATCCTATAAGAAAGTTAACTTATGTTTAGGTAATTTATATGTTGATAGGTGCTGAAAGTAATTTATACAAAATGTTTTGTATTTATTGTTAATCAACAAAAAAATTACTTCTTTGAAATTGAGTAAAAATTAATTACCTGTTAGGAATATTTTTTAGTTATATTTTCTTGAAAAAATTAGTATGCAAAATTATAGAATATTGTTTATACAAACATTATATAGAATCTTATTAACTAAATAATAAAATATACAAAATGAAGATATTATGAGTAAGTTAAATGAATTTAATATTGTGTTTAGTTCTTCATTGCCTTTTTCATATAGAAATATTGATTAGGTAATGTTTTTTTTGTAGTTTATTAATTTGTAATTAGTCATAAAAAAAAAAATCATTGGTTGATAATTTCTACAATTTACCGATTATAATTTTACTTCATCTATTGTAAATTATATTGATATTTTATATCAAATTCATTTTTATAAACACTTATTAATGAATCTTATAGGAAGAAGGTAAGGTTGATGTTCTTGCTAATGAAGCTGGAGATAGAATAACCCCTGCGATTGTATCTATAACTGATGAAGAAACAGTAAGTTTTGTTTTTTTGATAGTAAATTTTAATTTTATTTACAGTAAATATCCATAAATCTGATCTCATGTATATTTTTAGGTGGTTGGAAATGCTGCTAAAACAGGTTTTATATCTAAACAAGCAAATACCATTACTTTTAACAATCGTTTGATGAATCTTTCATTAGAAGATAATGAAAAATGTTCATTAATAGAAAATAATAAAGTCAAAACTATTGAAGAAAGAGGTCATCTTGCTTATGAATTACCTTTGGAGAATAAAAAAAAAATTTATACTCCTCAGTTTATTGAATCTAATATTTATAAAACATTATATGGTAACTATATTTGTATTTTATTTATTTATTTTTGAATAATATTAATTTAATTAATTTATACTATAGGTATTGCTAAAAGAGCCACTCATAGTGAAGATACAAAATGTTCCTGTGTGGTTACGGTACCAGAATTTTTTGATGATCCTAGCAGAGAATCAGTTCGAAACGCAGCAATTCAAGCTGGATGGAATGTTCTTCAAGTTGTTAATGCTCCTAGTGTAACTCCTTTTACCTATGGAATTAATGTTTCAGAACCTTTAAATGATATGTATGTTATAAAATACCACCTATAAAGGTATTTATTAATATTGTTTATTTGATTTAGGTATATTTTAGTATATAGGCTTGGTGGTATTAGTTGTGATGCAACAATTTTATATGTAGATTCTGGATTAGTATCAATTGTAGCATCTGAACATACTAAAGCTATTGGAGGATATAAATTAATAGAATCTTTAAAAGCTCATTTAATTGAAGAAGTAAAAAGGTAAGCTCTTATAATATATATTTGTGGTATTCATATTATAAGTATAATCATAGGATATATTATTATTACAATTTAATTTTTAAGAAAACATCGGTCAAATCCCTCAGAAAATGCAAGAGCTTCTGCAAAGTTACAAAGAGCTACTGAAGATGCAGTTCATTTATTATCAACATTAAAAACTGCAAACATATTTATTGAATCATTAACTGATGGAGTAGATTTTGCTGCCTCGGTTTCTCGAGCAAGATTTGAGTCATTAATTGCACATTTATTGGCCAATTTTTCTTTGCCAATTGAAGTGGTTTTAAAGAAAGCCAATCTTGAAAACTCTAATATTAAAAAAGTATTGTTTATTTTAGGGTACAATTTTTAATAAGTAAAAATGATAAAATATTGCACCTGATGTAGGTTATACTTTGTGGAGGTCCACTCAAAATTCCAAAATTGAAATCTTACATTGGAAACTTATTTCCACATGCAGATATACCTAATGGCATCAGTCCTGATGAAGTACTGGCTTATGGAGCTGCCGTGCAAGCTGGTTTTTTGACAAAATATTGGAATACAGATAATGATTTACCGGAACCTACAACAGAAGTTCATACTCTAAAAGAAACCGTAGAAGTTGATGTTGGTATATTTCTCTACAATTTTTTCTCCAACTTATTAAATATTTTTTTTTTTTTTAGTGCTGTGGTGAAACTTTAAAATTTGATCAGAATGAAATATTGCCTAGCACAAAAAGTGTTAAAACTAATGTTACTGTTGAAAATGTCACTCTTTCAGCCATATCTGGCAGTGATAAGCACATTAAATCTGAAGTAATTTTTTTTATTTATAGGTTTGTTTTTATTTTATTTTTAATTGAATTTATTATTTAGGCTCAAGTAAACTTGAAATCAAAAGGTGAAATTACTTTTACACTAACTGCTAGTATGTAAGTATTACATTAAAGAAAAAATTATAAAAAATCATTTAGTTTTATTAAAATGCAATTTTTGTTAACTTTAGAGATCAGTCAATACATGTTGAAGCAAAAAGTGTTGAACCTGAGCTTAAATCTACTGCTATATTTGTAACTGTATAATTGTGTCTTTAAAATACTAAAATGAAATTATTTTATTTTCATATAATTTGTTTTTCAGTTTATTATAACATCACTACAAGTCATTTAGTTGATAAAAATGTATCAAATTAATTTTCTTCTATCATGTTTTACAATGAGTAATAATGTTTTAATTTAACTACTTTAATTCAGACTATAGTTAATTTAATGATTCAATTGAATTATGTGCAAGTATAAAATTAAATAAAATAAATTTTGAGAAACCCATTAGTTCAGTATTTAAGTTTGTTGTGTACAATATAAGCTTAATAAATTAAAATAAATGAGCATTTCTGCAATAGTTAAATAGAGGTAATTGTTGGATTAACTTGCTCACTTGTTTGCTCAAAAGTGGCTTAGTAGTTTTACGTAAAGACTTCTCAATATGAATTTATTAAATGGTAAAAAGTTAAGATTATTCCGTTATAAATAATTTAAATAAACTAGTTAGTACTAAATATAATATAAATTCTTGATATTTTGATATTTTAATTTCATTAATAAATACTAAATACTATCAGAAACATTTAGAAAAGAAAGCAGATTCTATAAATAAATAGGATTTAATTAATTTTTGGTAAGTATTGGATCCTAGAAAATACTTTCCTGTCTGAAAACACTTTTCAAAAATTATAGAATGAAAATGACTAATTTTTATTGTGTATTTTTGTAATATTTAAAAAGTAACCTAGATTATTTGTAGCCATTTTCAGTAAGATCATAAATTAATTATTATATTTAAAATAACTGCTAGAAATTCATATTATAACTTAAAATATTAAAATTAATATGATTTTTAATCTACTTTCTATATAAAACAGATTTCAAATTTAACACTTTTTTAAAAAAAAAAAAAAAAGAAATTATTATAACAATTTAATTATCTAATTATATTTACTTGGATATTTAATTTTTTTTTAACATTTTTGTGTATTTTGACATTTGAGCTTGAATAATTATTTGAAAAATATTCATTATTTATGGTAATTAATAGATTATTTAGTAATAAGTGTCAATTTGTTAAATTATTGTTAATTCATTTTTTTTTCATCCCGTAAAGCATGACTGCTTTTAAGGAAATTATATCTTTATTTTGAAAATATTTTTTAAACTCCATGACATATAATGTGAAGGAGTAATCATAAGGACAATTATTTTATTTTTAAGGAACATATAAAAATACAATTGTCTCTATGATTAAAATAAAGTAAAAAAAGAATGAAAGAAAAATAGATAAAATTAAGGATACCTACTTACAAAATACATACTTACATACACAAAGATAGAATATATACAAACATATATACATAAATATAAATAATAAATATGTGTTACAATAAAAAGCTCTCAGAAAGAAAAAGTTAACAATGGCTTTAATCAAGGATGGATTGGAGGATTGGAAAATATAAGGTAGAGAAAAAGGAACTTGTTGGTAAGACAATAGAAAGAAGACACCGGCTATAGAGGAGACCGGGGTAGTTAAACAAGAGATAAGAGACTTTGCATAAAATAAGGTCCACATGACGAGTACAATAAGGAGAATCATTCAAGGATAAATAAAAGGAGTGAGCCGGGAGGCGAGTATAGGAAACTATGATTTTGCGCGAAATAGGAATATTGTGAAACCAGGGAAAAGATAAAATGGAAGAACAAACTAGATGAAAGTATGAGGCAAATTTCGGGGCTAGGTTAACCCATCATCTATTCAAAGGCTTTAAGAGCTGGTGAAAAATCAGAATAAGGAATTTTAATAGGCGAAGAGATAAAATTGGAGCATGAAGTGGCAAGATCGGCCATTTCATTAACTAAGATACCGGCATGACCGAGGACCCATAGAAAAAAATGATTAAAGCTATCACTGATGAGTATTAATAAGATTGTGCGAATTAGAAAGACGAGATGAAAGATAGCAGTTTGAAAAGGAGAGGAATTTAAGATCATTAGACAAGCTTGAGAATCGGAAAGTATGATAAAATTACGATTAGATAGAGACTTAATAGAATATAGAGCTTCTATTATCGCAAGGCATACGGTTGTAAAAGAAAAGGCAGATAAAGGAACATTATTAGAAAACTTCATAGAAACGCTAGGAATATAAAAATAATAACCAGCGGAAAGAATCGAAACAGAACCGTCAATGAAAATTAAGTAATAATTGGGATAATGAGTTTTAATAAAATCTTTAAATAAAACATTTACGGTGGATGAAGGGAAGGATCGAAAAGTTAAAATAGGGATACCCAAAAACGTAAGATAAATAAACGAAGGAACATCTAACAATAAAGCTTCAAAAGGTGTATCATAAAGAGGCAAATGGCTGGGTAAAACGTGTATAAAAGGAAAAAATAGACGAAGGGAATCCTTAATAATAGCTAATAGGGGGGTAGATTTGGCACAGAAACATCAAATACGAAAAATTGATAAATACAACGATAGAGTCATGGATAAAGGAGGAGGATAATTTGTCAATGATGGATTTACTGTCTAACCGACGAACTCGTACGTCCAAGGGAGTAATGCATAGCTCGACTTCTAAAGCTGGGGAAGGAGCGGAACGAAGTGCACCGAGAATCGAACGTAAACACATGTCTTGGTAGAAATTGAGTTTAATGCGGATGGATTTGCAGACAGTATCGAATAAAAATAAAGCCGTAATCAAGCATTGCTATAACAATACCCTTGTAAGGAGAAAGGATGGCCACCCCAGTCAGTACCACATAAAGATCGGAAAAAGTTGGCCCATTTTGAAGTGAAAGAAAGAAGATTTAGATGATGTGGACCCCAACGAAGTTTGGAATCCAAAATGAGACCTAGATAGGTAACGGAGGAAATTAATGGAATAAAGTGAGTGTCCATATGCACGGATGGAAAAAATAATGGAAGCCGCCGCCTAGTGAAGATGACGGCTTTTGATTTTTTGGGAGCTGCCGTGAAAAAACTGGTATTTAAAGCTGTAGAGACAAACAAGGGCAAAATTCAGGTCATCGATGACGAAATCAATGTCCTTATGGATCTAGAAAATTGTCGAATCATAGGCATAAATGATTGCTTGAAAGCCATTTGACAATAGAGAATGCATAACGGACAGAAAATAAATATTGAACAAGATGGGACTTAAAGCACTACCCTGAGGTAAACCGAGATAACTGACAGGCTGTAAAGATTCCCCAAAAGGAGAGTTGAAAACGAGGAACCGAAGATGGAAAATCCGAGAAACAAAATTACAAAATAAAGTTGGAATCGACAAAGCAGATAAACGACTAACTAGGGTAGGAATATGAACCGATTTATATGCGCTTTTTATATTAAGGAAAGCTGTTGCTATAAAATGCTGATTGCAAAAGGAATGGTAAATTTGATTCGAAAGAAAAGCAAGACTATCCATGGTACCGATACCTCGTCTAAAACCATACATGGAGTTGGGAAAAATGTTGTTTGTTTCTAACCACCAGTCCAAATGATTTTTTAGGATTAATTCAACAACTTTATAAAAAGCTGAAAAGAGAAAAATAGGACGGAAACCTTCACCGTTCGGTTTGGGGATTAGAAAAACCTTAGTCTTTCTAAGAAGGTGGAATAAGACTATTAACGATTTAAAATGTTTAAAAGGATTGGATAAGCGTCTTGCGATAAATATTTAAGGGATAATGGTGAGATGAGATCGGAACTGGAAGCAATGGAGGACCTATGGTTAATAGCGGATCTTAGTTCGACCAGCGTAGACACTGGAGAGTAAATGTGGTTGATTTGAAATGGGTACAATATCTACAGGGGAAGATTCGGAAAGGGATGGTACTTAACAGGGAGTGACTTTCGAGCAATAACTAGGGAACCAATCGTCATTGACAGGAAAATTATTCTTCGTTAAAGAACAATGAGAAATTTTAAAACGTTTAGCCGTTGACCAGAATAAGAAGCTGGAGACAGATGGATTAACAGAACAAAATGACTACCAGGAATGTCTTTTAGCAGACTTCAATATGGAACAAATGGAAGCACATACACTGAAAAGGACAATTATGTACACAAATAAATACTTATCTGAGTACTCGTGATATGATGACCAAATAAGAAAATTAACCAGCTGGTTAGCAAATGACTATGATTTTGTGCCAAAACAAAAAATTATCAAATATAATAAATGTAATATGGTAAAAATGTATGAACATTTATTAAATAATATTTTAATTGTACTAAATAGCATTTAATTGAAAACTGAAACTAAATAAACCAAAAAATTTAAATTTATTTTTTAAATTAAATTAAAACATTTTCTCAATCACTACATTCATATGCTATTAATACATTTTAAATACATATTTTCAAATTTGTATATAAAATATGAATTACTAATTTAAATAAAAACTCAAAGTTATTCAATATTCAATGAACAAAAAATATTTTCTAAGTCTTAGGGAATTTGAATATTAGTTATCACTTTTTTTTTGTACTTAATGTTCATAATAAATTATGTGTATAGTATTTTTTTAATAGTCTTCATCAAATTGTAAAATTTGTACGATTTGTAAATTTATTATGTTTTCTGTTATCCTTTTCATTGAAAATATCCCAGAGAGTGATTTTATTATCTTTATTGGCAACAGCAAGCATATATTTGTTAGAATTCCAAAAATTTACTGAAAATTCAGAATATACAATATTTAATACTCCAGTAGAATGAGAATCCAAAACTGCTAATAATTTCATGGATTTCCAAGAAAATAATCTTACAGTAAGATCCCAACAAGCAGCAGCTAATATTTTATCATCCGGTCTTAACCGTAAAACATTAATACCAGAATTTGTAATTTGAGTACTTTTATCCAAACTTATAGTATCATCTGTAATGCAAAATGTATATATAATATTTGAACTACCACCACAAACACCTTTGGTTATATTGTTGTCCACATCCAATGTCATCAAACATTCTAGTTCTGGAAAATGATATTGACTTACAATGTGATGTTCCTTCCACATAATAACTATATTCGCTTCATAACCACAAAATACATAATCTTCAATAGATTTGATAACCATCAAATCACCCAAACTGTCATTTTGTTGTGGATCAAAAACAGAAATTTTGTCAAAAGTTTCAATAGAATAACTATTCATAGTAGACTTTTCACCTTTGCTCAAAAACATGTTTGATTTATATAGAGATAATGTACAAAAGCCAATTATATGCGTTGATAATGTTTGTTGGAGCTCGAGTTCAAATCCATTTATTCGCCAACATTTTATTTCACCAGTCTTGTTATGTGAAATCAATTGATTTAATTTGATTAACAGTTCTAAGGTATTTATACACATTGAACCAGCCTTTTGAACATTCTTTAAACGGTTAGACTAAACAAATAAAAATTTAAGATTATATTATTAGCACAACAAATTTAAATAATTTTCTGATTAAAAAATAATTTTGTAGATTAAATAATTAAACATTATAAAACATATTTAATTAAAGTTATAGTGTACCATTAAAAACAGAGGCGGATCTAAAGGGGGGGGAGGTCAGGGGGTCAGCTGACCCACAGTTAATATTTGTTGACAAAATTGGTCTCTAGGAAATTTTTTTTCACTTTTAGACCTTGATTTGGACTCTTGGACAGTTGGCCCATCGGAGTTACTTGAAAAATGAATACCATATATATTCAAAATTTAAAATTTTTCAATTCATAATTTATATTTTAAATTATATCGTTTTAGTAGAATGTTAAGTAAATCATATTTTATTCCGTACGTTTGTTGCGCTGATAAAATTAGATTATATTTATTAATCGTAAATAAGTCATTATCTGTGGTATCACTAATTCTAAAATGTAATATAAATATACTTATACACTTTTATGAGCATATTGTGTTTTTTTTTACAAGGTATTAATTTCTAATTCAGTTTCATCTCAAATGAATGGCCTCTTGAAATAGCTTGACCCACAGTTCCCCGACTCTGGATCCGCCCCTGATTGAAAATACACATTAATAAAATATTCCATTAAGTAAATGATTCGAAAATTTAAATAACAAAATATTCAAACTATGTATATTAAAATTATAATAACAATAGTTTTGTGTGAATTTAATAAACTATTAAAATTATATTTTATACAGTCTTGAATGATAAATTACCTCAAGATTCCAAATGAGTATTTCTCCACTTTGAGTGCCTGCATAAAGGATATGATCATCTAAATTAAATTTCATACAATTTGGAACATAATTTTCACATTTCAGTGTAAAAATGGGTGATGGCAGTACATTATTTCGCATTTTTATTATTTGGTAAAATAAATTAAAGTGAATCAATAATATTTTGTATTTTTAAATAACCGAATTTCAGTTTTAATTAAGAATTATTCATTAACATAACAGAAAAAAATAATCATTCATATAATCTGTACTATATTATATCAGATTGAATAAAATATATCACAGAGTATATAAAATAATTTCATATACTCTGTGATAATATTTTATCATACGTTAACAATATTTGATTAGAAAAACCAGTTGATTTTGTATCACTGACTAAGATAATATATTATAGTATATATGTATTCCGGGGCGGATGGCCTAATAGGAATTCGGGACTTTTTCCGATGGACTAAACTAATCCGTAGACTTGGTCTTTACTTAACATCATCCTAACAGTGACCGTGAGCCAATCTATTTACTATTTTCCCAAGCTGAAATGTTTTCCCAATCCGCCCCAGTATGTATATTAAATAAAATTATCTTAGTCCGTGATTGATATACAGAACTGCCCTATTGTATAAAAATATCAATACAAATCGCCCATCACTAACCTATCCTAGTCATTAAAAGTATATTGCTAATATCTAAGTAGTAAATTGGTACCCAGAGTTGCATACGGGCTTAGGTCAGTTATGCAACATACCTATCTATTACAATTGTTTAATTTTTATAGCTGTCAATCCAAACATATAAGATTATAGGTACACACACATTTAGGTACACCAAATGTAGCAAATTAATTATTATAATATAATGTATAAACTATGGATCATAGGCAGATCTACGAGAGACCGGGTGACGTAAATCAGGACCACGATTAAGTTATAATGACCAGGACACCAAAATGCGGCTCTTTATTATCGTGTTCTCAAATTTCGCACGTTTTTCTAATATCGAGTTTTATCAATAAACTAATTTTTTATTATCAATAATTTAGGTACTTTAATATTAAAGAATTAACTGCATCATCTAAAAACTATCTTTAATATGTATTAATATTACTAACTGACCCGATAGATGTTGTCTTGTCTTAATTATGAATATTGAATTTGAATTGGTATAGTTAATTAATAAATGAAAATATTTAAAAAAAAGTGTTTATTATTTTAATGCTTTATGATATATAACATTCTTAATTTTTTTTTCTTGAGCGTATATAAATAGTTTTATTGATATTCCGATACAGAAACAGGTTACAAACACATAGCCACTGCCCTTGAGATTTATTTAATGACATTGCAAATGCTAGCTGCATTGGAAATTACAATCGTAAGAGTCGAATGGAATGTCGTTCGGAATCAAAGAATCCGTGAAATCAAAACGTCTTCGCATTTGTACTTCCCTTTCAAAATTGTGGCTTTGATGACGTTGTTCATTAATTTCTTCACCGCAAGTCGGGTGCCTTTACAATGACGTGACTGGTTTATGTTCCGCAACATAACAATTACCGATTCGATTTTTAATTGCAGATTATGAGGGGTAATCCAGGCAATTACAGCGAATTTAAAAACTCCGTTGAATAGTTAATAACATCATCTTGGTTAGAAAGCAATCGATTTGTATGTCATTAATTCGCCAGATATCTTATTTTGAAACTGAAAATTCAATTCGTAGCCATCAACGTTTTTTGCAGCCAATATAACTCATTCGCTCAATGATCTTTGAGCAATGTTTGGAAAACCCTTCTCGATGAGTTCGGTCTTAGTTTCAGTATAGTGACAAAATTTTTAGGAAATATGATGTATCCAGACGATGAGTCAACAGGTATTTTGCCCAGTGGTGTACATACGGTGGATGGGGGAGGTTCAAACCCCCCAGGGCAAAAAAAAAATTGTTTTATTATTGATAACGTGTAATACAGGGATCGCCAACCAGTCGATCGTGATCGACTGGTCGATCTTTTTAGGAATATAGGTCGATCGTTGTACAATTTAAATTTACCACTATCGGTCGATCGCGCAAAATAATCAGATTAATCGGATAATGTTAACATTAGATTATTATTATGAAAGTACAATAAATAATTATTCTTTGGATCTTAAACCTTTTTTTCTTTTGCTCATCAAACAAATCTCTTCATAAAGACCTAAATTCACTTAGATGTCGATCACCAGGGACTTAAATGTCAAATGTAGCTCACTTGTTTGAAAAAGTTGGCGATCCCTGGTGTAATATATTCGTAGTTTCATTATTACGCTTTGAACTTAAAATATACAACTATACAAATATTATGATAATTACATAATTATATTGATAGATGTTTGAAAAGTTTTGTTAACTATGCTGTTTTTATATTTCAATAGCTATTAATTTACTGTAATGTAAAAGTAAACTGTAAATTGGTAAAAAAGTTGTGTAAAATAATATCTATTTATAGCAGTTATTTATCTTATTTATCTGTGCAATGAAAAAAAAAAGATAACAATTATTTTTGTTAACCCCCCCCCCCCCCCCAGAGCAAGATTGAATGTACGCCACTGATTTTGCCATTACCAATGTCGAGCAATTGTTTGGAAAAAAATTTCCAGATTGGTCGTTCTGCAATTCGACTCGCATGTTCATATTTAATTTGAGCATTTTAACGTGTTTCCATAAAATGGATGACTTTAAACATGTGTTAAGTTCGTCAGCTGGCGTTGATCGTAGTATTACTGGTAGTGTTTGGCGAAAATCAACCATCAGTAAAATCATTGCACCACCAAACCGGTTTTGGTTCTTTCGTAAATCTTGCAACGTGTGGTCTAATGCTTCCATAGATTTTTTGTGAGCCATCGTGCACTCACCCCAAACTATTAATTGGGGTTTCGTCAATTGCGCCGAATTTGGGACACTACCTGTATAGTATACATCTATTGCGCCGGTATAAAAAAGGTATATTAAAAAGGTATACATCTATTGCGCCGGTATAAAAAAGGTATATTAAATAGGAATATATCTATTGCGCTGGTATTAAAAAAGTTATATTAGTTAAAAGTAAATAAAAATAATTTACATATATATATTACATACAAATTTATCTTTCTGATGAAGTGCCTTGAATCTTAATCTCTAACCAAAAAAATTAAATTAAAATTAGAAAATGTAGATATAAAAATAGATTTATATTTAATTACCTTATAATCATTTTTTGTAGTAGTAGCTTATTCGTTGTACAAATTCAAACATATCTAAATTTCCATTTAAATACTTGGATATATTATCTTCAACCATGGTTTTTTGTTTTTTATTCTTATGATTTTTATTCTTATTTTCTTTCTCGACGCTATTTATTTTTATATATGATTGGAGTTGAATAATTTTCAAAACTTCATAAAAAACAAAAATGTTTGGATGTGGTGAATAAAAATATTTCCCAAATGCTGAGTGAAACGACTCACAGGCATTTGTCGTTCTTTCGCCTGAAATATTGCACGATGCCCAAAGATACGGTGGGAAAGTTGCATCTTCGCCAATATACGTATCAACAACGTAATCACAAAACGTATCAATTTGTTCGTCCATTGGTTTAATGCTCATAAAATCAACCGCGAAGCAACTGCTGACGATTTCAGGTTCACGTAGTGGTAGGCCGAATATCCATTTTAACCATTTTCCAATGTCACTTGAATGATTTTTATAATCCGAAGATAAGCCTAAATTTTGGATTTTTCTCCACCATGATTGAGAGAGGTGAAATCGGCAACCACGTAATATTATATTCGGCCAAACTGTAAGAACAGCCTTATGTATGCTTTGCTCAAAATCTACAATGCAAATTTTTGATTGAAAATGTACAATTTCGATTTATATACTTCAATTAAACTATTAAATGCTTGTTCATAAATTTTAGTTTCTTTATTTGGCAAAAGAAAAAAAACTAATGGAATATAATGACCGTTTTTAACTGTATGGATTGTGAATAATTGATAAAAATATTTGGGACAGTAAGAAAATGTTCCGTCCATAAATAATTTTTCTTGACTACAGAGAAATTTCAAATTAGCCATTGTTGAAAATGCCGTTATTTTGTTTTCAGAATCGTTTATAAATAAAAATTCTTCGTCTTTATTCGTAAGTGTTGGAATGCTAAGTAAAGCTTCTTGGGTTTCTCTCAAATTTGTGGGCAATATTGAAGTATTTTTTCGTCTAGCTCTATATAAGTTTTGTCTTATATTTGGAATATCGTCGGTTTTGAGGTTGTTTGTTAAATGATTAGATATTTTCTTACTTATTATTTTTAACGGCTTTTCTGTTAAATCGTCCATTGCTTTTCTTTTCACCTGATTTGATATAATTTGACGTTCCAGGTTATTAGGAGGATGATGTTCATGTCTAATTTCTTCAAATAAAATTGTAGTTTTACCCTCATCTACGTACAGCTTAGAGTTACAACTTTTGTGTGCGCACCGCCATTTATGCCCTTTTTTCGTAAGTTTCTTGTAAAAAAATTTATAATTTTGATAAATAATTAGTTCTTTACCACGTTCACTTAATACTATTTCCATTATAAATTTAAGCACGAGCCACGATTACTAAACGAACGACTATACGAACAACGCGTGGAATTGTACTGCACAATACTATGGATTTACCTATAACCTAACACGGTATTTGTCCACATTTTGTAATTCGTTTTTTCTTCAATACAATAATATAATTCAAACTTACCTATGATATAGATAATATATTAGATTAAAACACGTAAAAACCGATATGTAGTTATAATAGAAATAGTATTATAGACGTTTATATATATTTAAGAATCGATCAGCGTAATTGACGTACACCATTTATTACATTAAAATATCGATCGGCGCAATTGACGTACACAATTTATAACATTGAAATATCGATCGGCGCAGTTGATGTATACCTTTTTTCTATCCCATAATTTTTCTTTCTTTACCTGCGATTTTCGGCGCAATTGATGTATGCCCTATTAATTTGCTCTGCTGCAACACTTTGGCCATCGCAGAATTTCTCGAAAGGTTGCAAGGTGGTGGACCTTATGAACATATTTGCATATATATTTTATGGACTTCACCGAACTGTAGAGCTTAACGTTTTTGTGTGCTTTGTAGATTTATATAGCAATGGTGAATACGAAA